GGGCTTGTAGCAGGAGCAGCAGCAGTAGTAGCAGCAGCAGCAGCAGGAAGCAGCGCAGCAGTAACAGCCAAAGTAGCAGCTGCAGCAGCTTACAGCAGGAGTAGGGCAGCAGGAAGGCTATGTTGATACAGTTTTTCTACGGCTTCAGACGACATGTTAGGCACTTTTTGGGCTGCATTTTGTCGTTGTTCCGTCCTTCACTGCCACTGTGTTTCCCCGTCCAGGAGCCACGTTTTGGGACTCGGCGCAGCAGTAGCAAGAGTAGAAGCAGTAGCAGCAGCAGAGGCAGCAGCAGCCGCAGCAGAAGCAGCGCAGCAGCAACAACCAAAGTAGCAGCCGAGCAGCTTACAGCACGCAGCAGCAGGAGCAGGGCAGCAGGAAGGCCATGTGGACAAGTTGCCAAGAGCTGCCCAGAGCTGGAAATTTGTGTTTTTTTTTTGTGTTTTTTAACTAGGGTTTCAGAAGGGACGTTAGGCCTCGTGGATTATCATTGTAGGGCACCATTCCGTCCCTCAGTGCCATGGTGTTTTCCTGTCCGGGAGGTGCATTTTTTACGGCAATTTGTTGGCTGAAAGATGTGGCAAACAGTTGCGGGGTGCAGAGGTGGCAAACAGGTCCAGATTCAAAACCCACTCGCTCTGAAATATCAGCTAGCAAAAATAGGCCCGGGGTCGGCGGCAGGGGCGGCAGCCCTTAGATATATAATATCCTGCAAAAACTCCAGAGCCCTGTGTCACCCAGGTTTCCAGCAATGCCAGCAGAAGATGAACAGCAGGGACCATGATGGGTGGAACCAGGGTCGGCAGACCCTGCATACCTCGCCGTCGGGGCTCCCAGCATGTGAAAACCTACAGCTGGTGTCTTGACCTACACCAACCAACAAAGAGTGCAGGTGTCAAAATCCAGTTTTGGAACTTCCAGGTGTCCAACTAATTGGCAGTTGAAAAACGCTAAGATCATGGCTACAACCCACTTTTTCCTGCTTCCATGTTGGTTTTCAAGAATTTGCAAGAGGTGACAGATGGGATTTACAGTGATATAAACAGTGATATATTTCAATGATGTAACCTATTCACAACAGAGCTAGAGAAACAACTCGGTCAAGTCACGTGGCCCATAAACATCATAAACCACTGTTCGGGGTATGGTCTTTGATACAGAACTTCTGTGGATGAACTGTGGCTCCAAGGCTTCACATTTTGTTCACCATTTCTCCGATTTCTCCATGGCACAGAGCGGCAGAGGCAGCTGGGGGAGCTCGGTGGCGAAGTGATGTGGATAGAAACGTCGCAGGTTCGCCAGATCAATCGAAGCCCAGTGAAAGCGCCAGGGACTAAAAGTCCGCCTCAACGAGGGACCCCTCTGATGGTAGTGGCATGGTAGGGGATACTTGCTGCTTCTTAGGGGACCCCTCTAATGGAACTGGGGCACTCGTTTCATCACGTCTCAAAATGCACGAAAGTGAAGAGTTTGGAGCAGCTTCGAACTATGTCTGATGGTGATTAAACATGATGAAACCTCACAAACTCTACTAGGCGACCCAGATGCTTATTCATGCTTATTTCATCAGTTTACATGTTGCAAGTTTATATAAGTGGATAGTTTCAGTGGTCTTGTATCCTCTGGAGACTTTGGAATTCCGTACCATCGACCCTCCGCAGCTGTCATGATCTGCAAATTTATTGGTCGGAAAGTTTTGAACATTGAACCCAGAGCGAGACTGAGAATCTGTATATATCTTTGGTCAAACTTTTTCTGTGCAAATGTTCCCGACTTGCAACTTGTAAGTCCCAATTTCTGATACCACCAGCACCAAGCAGCAGCAACAATAAGCAGCTTCCCATCCACAGCCTGCACCGAGAGTGTTTAACTTTCCCAGATCCTCGAACCCACTGGCACAAGGTTTTCGTGGCTCCTTTCCATCTGTTTCTTGTGTTTAGAACTGTATCCGAACTAGAATGGATGGCAAAACAAAGAGGAATGACCAATCGACTTTTTATGCACCCAATATAACAACGAACAAACGAAAACAACCAAACTGTGGTTTGACTTGTACGATACTGTTGTTTATTACCTAACAAGTTTCAACATCCAAAACACTTCCAAACTTGCAAGAAGATGGACACCCTCCGAATACCAGCAAATAAATTCTGAGTCTGAATCATGTCCGCACCAAGCAACTTGCATCCTACTGACCACATGCGTTGCAGTCGGCGTTTGAATCGCATCCGCCGCTCTCGAAGTGATGTTTTTTCCACATGGTGCATCCTGCACAGAATTCATGCCCGGCGCCAGGCACTGGTGTCATTAATAGCGAAACAGCACCAACCAGACAAAAGGAGTAAAACCCCGATGGAAACCAGGAATCGACGAGTCATGCTGAAGCAGCTCTTTGTGAATTCCAACCTGTGGCCGAAGCCAACTCAGATGATTGCAACACCCAACGGGTGCCCATGTCTAGTTGCCGTTGGTTGACTATTTCCAATACCCCACCCTGCAGCCCGCATCCTTGGTTGGCTTGTTTGATCCCGAGAATTCCACAAGCGATGCGTGAACTGCGAACGTGGATTATCAGAGTTTGTCATCTTTTGTGGAAAACAATAGAAATTCAATTGAAAAACCATCAGGAAGAAACTAAGTCAAACACTTACGTGTTCCAGCCATCAATTCCTGTCGCCAATTTCCAGCATGTGGACATCCAGAATGTCGGAGGAAAAAACAATTCTAAACGCCATCCGTGTGACCATGCGTGACCAAACTGCTGCAACAAATAGATGTCTGACCAGTCTGCAACAAAAACCATGGTCCCCATGGTCCATTCTCCATCATGGCCCCCCCAATCCTGGAACCAAACAGCAATTCACAAAATGTGAATGTTTGAGCACAGACAGAGATGCCGAGATGCCAAGTGCCTGCAAAATCACAAACAACATGTTCAATCTTTAGCGCAATGCTGCGCCAAAAAAAATCTGTGGGGATTTTGCGCAAATTGATTTGCATTGACGGGAACGCGACCATCACAATCAACGTTGCCGAATCCGAAGTTCTATCCTCATTCAAATCTTTGTCCTATTATTCAAATCGATTTTCCCTCTCTTCTATATACACTCCATATTCTAATTCTATCCTAAGCCTAATTCTTATCCTAATTCAAAGTCCTTTTCTTATTCTGCCTCAATCCTAGGTGTTGTTCCACTTATACTTATATTTCTAATGTTCGTATACTCTCAATTTGATTTGTTATTGTATTACTATTCAAAATACAAATCGTCATTCTAATCCTGATTCTTATCTTGGTTCTTGTTCTGAGTCTCTTCTGTTCCATCCAAACCTAATCGTCATGATCATTATCATTCTAAACCTAATTCCAACTTTGATCCTGTTCTATCTAATCGAATGCTAGTCTTCATCTTTATTAAAGTTCAATGTCTGATTTAGATTTACTGTATATGAAGCTAGAGCTATAGACAACCAAAGAACAAACTAAACTACATATAGAACACACTAAAACTCTAGGTAAGACAAACTAAAACGAGAAGATCCCTAGAGACAAGTTCAAGGATTGTATAAACAAATCTACAGCTGAGATTGACCGGAAGCTGTGCAAAGCAAGAGACTCGCAACCAAAGCAAAAATCCGCGC